TATACTGTTCTGCCAGCTTGATCATCTTATTTACATCTTTTTGGTGCTCTCTTCTTTAGGAACAGTGACACATCATTTAAACACGTGACCATGAACTGTTCACGTACTAATAGGTCTGCCAGTTCCTCAAAACGTTTTTCAAACATGGCCATGTCAGTCCATCTGGTAAAGTATCGCCGTAGACATGCTATAAACTGAAATACAGTTTCTTCAGTAAGTTCACTAAAACTCACTAGTCAAGACCAATTACTGTCTTAAAAGTAGTTGCTAATAATTAGTGATGACTTTATAACTACCTCAAAACACACTGAATCCCCATCCAAAGAAAAAGTGAGGTAATGATGATTACTTTATAAATACCTTAATGTTTCACTGAATCCCCTTTCGAACGATAAACTAATTAGATACTGATCACTTTATAAACACTTAACGACACATTGAGTACGTTCAGCTGAGTTTATAAATACTTTAATGTCACGTTGAATACTGTTAAAGAATCACACAAACAGACTGTTTGGTAATGATTTATTTAGTAGCCACCTTACATGTAGCGAGGCTCATATGGATTAACATCTATAAGAAATAAATAGAAAATTATTACATTTCCTTTTTATTCTTATACTATTCTGTTTTAAATACCTTTTCTTCTTGTTTTATCATCTGGAACCACAATCTTTCGTTTTTCACCAACACACATTCCGAGAATTCCCTCCTCAAACTCTTTCGCGAGCATACCAAATCCTAGTTGTACTTCCATTGGTACACCTCGGTCGTACCTTTATTTGAAATAAATATTACTTACTTCATATATAATTATGATCATTTTTAAATCACAAAACATAACCATAGATATGATCCGGAATTCGTCTCTAAACAAAACGTACTATAAATATAACCCTAAATTCGACTCTAAACAAAACATAACTATGGGTGTAGCCCTAACTCCGTCGTTAAACAAAATACAACTATGGATATAGCCCTAACTCTGTATTTAATCAAAATATAGCTATGGATGTAGCCCTAACTCTGTCTTTCACCAAAATATAACTATGGATATAGCCCTAATTCTGTATTTAACCAAAATATAGCAATGGATATAGACATAACTCTGTATTTAACCAAAATATAGCTATGTATATAGGCCTAACTCCGTCTTTAACCAAAATGTAGCTATGGATATAGACATAACTCTGGATTTAACCAAAATATAGCTATGGATATATCCCTAACTCCGTCTTTAACCAAAATATAGCAAAGGATATAGCCCTAACTCCGTCTTTAACCAAAATATAGCTATGGATATCGCTCTGACTCTGTATTGAACCAAAATATAGCTATGGATATCGCTCTGACTCTGTATTGAACCAAAATATAGGCATTGATATAGCCCTAACTCTGTATTTAACCAAAATATAGCTATGTATATAGACCTAACTTCGTCTT